TCGATGCCACATTGGAGTTGAGATATGATTTTGAGTCTGGCGTTGTCAGGACCACTATGTCGGTGGTCAACGCCGTATTGGATCTGAGGCATTATGGTTTGTTAAACCATATAATTTATTTGACTTTAATGCATTTGAGAGAAATTTTTAAGGACTGACAAAGAAAATAACAATTAGCTGTTAAATCGCATTAGCATGTTATTTTTTGTCTCCACACTGATAACTAGTTGACGGAGTACGTAGTATTTGTAATGAAGGATATAATAGTCGTCGTGATTCAATACTGCTTGACTTTTGTTGGATGGAGTCATATTCAGATACTGCACCTGAAGTCATGCATTTTCTTAAAATGCAGCCGCATTTTAAGGAATTAGTCATTAACCTGAGAGTCATTTTCAAAATGTATTTTAAAATAAAAATCACATAATTGATTTTGTACAAGTGAGAGAATGTTAGATTTATCTAACTTTTTATGGACTACAATCAATTGTATTTAGTTTATAAAAAACGGGTTAATCGTGATTCTGATGAGAGTGCATATATAAGCCCTATTATTAGTTAAATGATATTTTTTAACTAAAGACTGAGTATCTGAAACCTGATTGGTGTGGGTAAAAATGTAGGCTTTAATCCTGAGCCCATAATGGATAGGGACTAAAGTTATATATATTATATGACTATGTCTCATCTGTAATCACAAGAGTAAGGATGACAATGGATAGTGTTTGGGCAGGGTACTATACTATCCATCCTCATATCCACGATTTGAAAAATTTTCCGCACCCGAGCCCATACCTGCTAGGACGCCAAAGTTAGCATTCATACCTGTGCCCTATGGATATGTAAATACTCATACCCGTACCCGTTACCCGCATTTCTATTTTTAAAAAAAATAGATCAATTATAAAATATCATATCATTTTAACTTTTTTAAAATATTAAAAAAAATTAAAAATTATTGTTGAAATAAGCAAACACCTACATTAAATCCAAAATGGTTTAACATTGATAAACTTTTTAAAATTGATAGACATGCATTTTTATATAATAATAAAAATTAAAATATATAAATATAAATTAAAATACATAAATATATATTATGTGGGTATGAGGCGGAGTGGATACCAAAATGTCCATATCCGCTTATTTTTATGCGTAATTACTCGAACCCGAACCCGTGTCCATACCTATTTTTGCGGATTTTTACCCTACGCGCTGTGGGTAATTTTGCGGGTGCCCATTAAGAATGGGTCAAATTACCATCCTTACACAAAACAATCAGAAACATAACTGACGACTCCACAACTTGTTCCATTAAGATTTGTGGATGGGAACGTGAGATACAAGAGGAAGATTCAGCTATTCATCTTTTCGGAATTCTGAATTATGATTTCAACAAGTATTGGTGTTCTAATTTCATATAATCGATAGATAAATTGTTCTGCTTACAAATATTGCCTAGGCTACCAAGTCAGACTTTGTAATCAAGTTGAAGAGATTGACCCAAAAACATCTTCTTGCAGCCCTGCTTGTTTGGTAAATGTCAAATAGATAAAAGCTAATTTTGGTAAACGTAAAATAGATAAAAGCTAATTTCCCAGACATAGTTCCTCTAAGTATGCACAATTACTTTCAGAGTAACCTAAGATTAACACATCTCAATTATTAATAAGAAAGTCAATATTTGATATTTTAAACCATTCATAGTTTGTTCTGCATGTAATGTAACGGTAACATCAACTATTGATAATGTACAAACGATAATGTAATCGGAGGCAATCAAACTGAACCATGATTTACCTGAATTTGATAGTATAAGGTGGTACAAGTAAAAGACCAGTTATCAAATTATGCTTCCTCAAAGCTAGCTCCAAAAAATTATTGTCCCCATGAATAATCCCCGCTTTTTCCACCGGATTTATGCTTAAGTCGTATATCTGTAATCGTTATACCTTTTGAAGCAGCTTTGCACATATCGTACACTGTTAAGCCAGCAATAGACACTGCCGTCATTGCTTCCATCTCAACCCCAGTTTTTCCCATTGAAGCAGCTTCCCCTTCTATCGTTACACTAAAGTCCTCATGATTCAATCTCAAATCAACTTGCACGTGTGAAAGACCTATGTTATGGCACAACGGAATCAGGTTACTAGTTTGTTTTGCAGCAGTTATGCCAGCAATTTTCGCCACCGTAAGCACATCTCCTTTCGCCATCTGATTGGCTGATACCAAATCGAACACCTTCTTTCCAAGAACTACTTTGCAAACAGCTGTGGCGATTCTCTTACTACTTTCTTTTGGAGACACGTCTACCATTTGAGCTTCTCCTGAATTTCCAGTATGAGTCAATTCAAAAGAACTTTCAGTTTCACCTATTCTTTGAGATGACAAACGAGGTTCATTACTCGCAGGATTATTGCTTACAGAGGTAGGTAGTTCATCTGGCGGAAGTTCCCCAAATACAGATTCCATTTCCTGAAACAAATTAAGCAATTTAACATTGATTACCATACTTCTACTAAAATTTCTTAGCACAAATAAGTTAATGAACTTCAAAACAGAAATCACACAGAAATTTGGTTAGATATTACTCACTTCATCACTCCTTAACTATGAACGCACAAACACCAGAAACATGACACCTACACTAGAACGTCGACACCACTAATAATTTGAATAAATAAATTAATTAAATATAATCACAAATGTCGGTGTCAGTTACACGGACACACTTTTTTTAGAGGTGTCCGTGCTATGTAGCAGTTTAATACTATTTTGAAGAAAAGATATTGCAAAGCAAAAGAGTAGCGTACCTTATTGAGTTCTTGGATGGAACTTGCATAGTCATGGATAACAGAAGAGCTGAATATCCTTTTTGATGGAGGAAATGCAGCAACAATTCTTCTAAGAAACATTCTGTTAGTTGCTCTATAAAGGTAAGAAAAGGAAAATTAATCGAAATTAATTTGCTGATATTCAATTCAATTTCTACAATACATTATTGGAAACTGAACTGTAAACAAACGGTGAAATCAGAAAACAAAAACTAAACAAATTGAAATACTTTATCAGCAAATAAACATTGTTGGCAGTGGAAACAATGGTTTTAGATTTACAAATCAGCAAGAATTTCATAATCGGAAGAACAAAATGAAGAAGAAAACGTTACCCTGCGGTGGCAACGATGCTTCGTCGATGTTGAACGGCGGTGGGTGCGTTTTGCCCCTTCTCTAGTCGTTGCGGCAAAATTTAAGTGAGTTAACTCAACTGGTTAGGCAAACACGCTCAATGGTCAGTTAGGCAAACACGCTCAATGGTCAATTGAGTAAAAAAAATGGATAATTTTTTAATTTACACCCCTGCATCCCCCTTGCACACCATACGGCTCAAATTATTTAACAATAGTTTAAAATACAATTGTGGGTTTTATTTTTAAATCGATTGTACATTTTCAATTATAATTTGAAAATTACTCCCTAAACTTCCCTTGCTCTCTAAATTCTGTGGGATGAGAAAGGATGCATGGGACTAGCCGACCCACGGTCGGTCAAATCCCTATGAATATATGAAAGCTTCTTCCGGCGATAATTAACTGACTGTTTCATGGTGGTTGTTAAATAGGAGTCAACTCCCCTACGCTGGTTTGGTTATCTGCATGAGGCCTCACCCCCAGTTGCTCCATTCTGGATCTCTGAGTGATAGAATAGCTATAAGCTAGCCCATCCATCTTCCTATTTAGTTTAGGGGGTTGAGGCGAGAGCAGAAAGAGAGGGGAACGCAGCCCCCGCCGCTATATGAGTCGGATACTATTATAGTTTTACTCTTGTGGGAAATTCAAGATGTTTTTTTTTAGTTACCATTGGTTTTAAATTTCGGAGATATATTTTTAAATATATATTATTTTTACACATTTTTCAATGTAAATTGATGTGTTATTTATATTTTTTTTAAATTTAATTTGAAGATGCATATATTTATTAATATTAGGGTGACTTTGGAGATGCATTTCCGTAATAATTCTTAATTCAAAATTCAGTGAATTTTACAAAAATGCATCTTCGGACGCATTTAATCCATATACTCACGTCAGATCCTCCCCCATTCCTTCTTCATTTGTTGCAAACTCACTAAAACCTCATTTGAGCTTGTGAGCAAGTTTCCTCATGTCCATTTTTTAAAGGTTCAACATTATTACTGCTTCGCTACATTCAATCTCAGGTCATTCCATTTACTTCATTCAAGCTTTTCATCCACAATTCTCATTCAATAAATTTCTCATTTCATTTCTTTTTTGAGATTTGATGAATGTATTATGTAAAATAGGTTGTTTAAGATGCATCAGATAGTAATTACATTCAAAATAGATAGCTGGTATAGACATGCATTCCCATTTTGTTGGAGTTTAGGGCATCAATTTATGTCATTTCTACAACTCACGAGTTTATCTAAAGATGTGTCTTCGGATTTGGTCTGAACTAATTTACGGATATGTATCTCTGGATTTGCTCTGACTGCATTTTAATGTGATTTTCCGGTATGTATGTCCCAACATGCATTTGTAGGACGTGAGAGGGTCAGAGGCAGGCCCACGAGGCCACGAGTCGATGCTACCTCGTTTGAAGGTTCGCAAGGTCGAGGTTCACAATCATCTCTTTCTACTTTTTGAAGTTGTTAGTCTCAAGTATCTACTTTACGGGGACATTTGTTTGTTGCTTATGAAGCTCGTGAAGCTTATAAAGCCAATCCAGAGGAACTTGTTACTGATGCGGATGCCCCTGTAGATAGTTATCCAAGAATCTCATTTGACTCCTCCTTACTTCATCTCTATGGAGACTATGTTATTAGGCATGTTTGGGAAGGAAAGGTATATTTATTTACTTTTGCATTACATTTATTTTATACTAATTTAATTGCGTCTATTTTATACTAATTTAATCACGAATAATTTAATTGCGACTAAAAAATGGGCATGTTATTTTGTTATACTCCGGATGATTGCTTTATGGGTTAGATCTAGTGCATGCATATCTGCCCAATCAACTGATGCGTCACTTTGGGTATTTGCAAGTTATTTTGAGCCACTCATCAGAGTCTGATCCTCCTATTGTCCTCCGTAAAGATCTTGATTCCATACTTGAGGATCTCAATAGTCATGCAGGATTAGAGGATTACCATAGGGTGTCAACTCTTGTACAATGGACTTATGCAGACGACAACATCACATGATTTTATAGGGTGTCACATCCTATCATAACACCAGGCGTCCAGACGGTCCTGAAAGACCACCTAGATCATCTAATCAGAAGATACTACAGGCTAGGGATAACCATGCTTAGGATGTGTTGTCGGTCTGTCAGCGTATTGCGAATATGGTAATATCTGGCATAGAGACTATGTAACGCCCCAGACTGCTTTCAAGATTACCGACTGACCCCACAAACTAACCAGGGTTGTTGGAAATTCAACCACAACCTATGGAGAATATCACTCAATCAATCTTGATCTCAAGATTGTTTCAACTCACGTAATGACAATGAAAGAAAAGTTTAGAAAGAAAGAAAGAAAGTTAACGTTGGAGAAGAAGAAGATAAACAATTTTCTGCAGAAAGAAAGTTAACATTGGAGAAGAAGAAGATAAACAAACTGTGAAAATTCTGTTATTTCACTTGCAACTGCAAACTATGAATTACAAAATATGATGATATGAGATGGGATGTTTACAAAATAAGGGTTTCTCCCTATTTATAGATTTAGGTTAGCTTTCACCCCAAGCCAAAGCCCAAACGATAAAAGCCCAAAACTATCTAATCTAATCTTTTTAAATCAAATCTTATCTTTCTAAATCAAATCTAATCTTTCTAAAACAATGAATTACATATTTAACACACCACCTAATTCATTATGTCTACACTATCTACATTCATCATAGACTTTAACTTCTTGAACACTTCGACTAGCACTCCTTTCGTCATGATGTCTACAATATGATTCTCAGTTCTGTAGTGTTCTAAGTTCATCTTCCCTTATGCTACCTGCTCTTGAAGATAATGGAACCTTATTTCGATGTGCTTGCTTCGACCGTGTGCTATTGTATTTTTCACCAAGTTAATAGCTGACATGTTGTTGATCTTCATGGTAATTGCTCCATGACTCTTCGTTGTGATATCTTCGACCAGGTTCACCATCCAGGTTGCTTGACATGCACAAAGAGAATCATCTATATATTCTACTTCGCATGATGACAATGCAACTACTTGCTCCTTTCTCGAACTCCAAGCAACTAGTGCACCACCTAGCATAAACATATAGCCAGATGTGGATTTTCTATCCTCAGCATCACTACACCAACTAGAGTTGGTGTATCCCACTAACTTGCATTATTTTCCTTCATCAGTTGCAGGAAGCAAAATGTCATAGTCGAGAGTCCCTTTTAAATACCTCAGTATCCTCTTTGTCATTGCTAGGTGTGATACCTTTGGCTTCTGCATGAATCTACTTACTATACCCACACTGTATGCTAAGTCAGACCTTGTGTGACAAATGTATCAAAATGACCCAATAAGTCTTCTATATTCAGTTAGGTCGACATCATCTTCATCTGAATCCTTCGACAGTTGCAATCTGGTCTCAGTTAGAGTAGAAGTTGGGTTGCAATCTCGCATCTCAAATCTCTTGAGTATTTCACCTGCATATCTTATTTGGTGCATCATCAAACCTTTACTACTCTTGTAGAATTTGATGCCAAGGAAATATGAGAGATTTTCCAAGTCTGACATTTCGAACTCCTCACTCAAGTTATGTTCGAAGTCTTCGATCTCCTTCTTGCAACTTCCTGTTATTAACAGGTCATCGGCATAGAGGCATAGTATAAGCAGTTCACTACTGCTTCTTCTTACGTACACTCCATGCTCAGTCGTACACTTCACAAATTCCTTCTCCCTTAAGAAGCTGTCAATTTTTTTTATTCCAAGCACTTGGAGCTTGCTTAAGTCCATACAGAGCTTTATGCAGCCTGTACACATTTCTTTCTTCGCCTCATTTCATAAACCAGCTGGTTGTGCAACATAAACTTCTTCTTCTAAGGGGCCATTAAGGAATGCACACTTCACGTCCATTTGGCATGTGTGCCAATTGTTCATATTTTCTAGACCAACAACCAATATGATTGTTTCAATCCTAGCAACAGGTGCAAAAACTTCGTCGAAGTTGATTCCTTCCTTTTGAAGAAATCCTTTCACCACAAGTCTCGCCTTGTGTCGAGTTACTTCTCCTTTAAGATTCACCTTCACCTTGTAAACCCACTTCATATTAATTGCCTCCTTGCCTTGAGGAAATTCGACAAGTGAATAGGTGTTGTTGACTTCGATGGAGTCTAACTCCTCATTCATTGCTTTCACCCACTTCAAATCTTTCAATGCCTCACCTGTATTGACTAGTTCAACATCTGCGTAGAAAGCATAACGTACCAGCCCACCTTGTTCATCGACCACATCATCTGATATAATCACACATTATTGGAACCTTGCAGGCATGTGTCTTGTTCGTCGAGGTCTGCTTGGGCCAGCTTCATCTCTGACTTGTTCCTGTCAAACTTCACTTTCAACTTCAGTGGCTAGTTTTTCACAAGAGACTCTCACCGAATCCTTCTTGACATTCTCAGTCTAATCCCATTCCTTAAGCTCATCTATGATCACGTCCCTACTGATCACTACCTTCTTATTCACTGGGTTGAACAACTTGTAACCTCCAGTCGAATGATATCCTATCAAGATCATCTGATTCGGCTTGTCATCAAGCTTCCTTCTCAGCTGATCTGGCACATGTTTATGTGATATAGATCCAAACACCTTCAAGTAACTGAGGCTAGGCTTGACACCAGACCAACATTCTTCTGGTGTGTTCTTCAAGCTTCTTC